AATCAAAATTTTACCTTTTTCTGGGTTAGCTTAATCGGGCTTTCAACAACCCGGCCCAAGAGCTACGCTTTTAGGCTGGCCTAAATCTATATATTAGCTCAGTTGGTAGAGCAGTGCACCAGTATCGCAAAGGTCATGGGTTCGAATCCCGTTCAGGCCCAGTGAATTTTTTTTCAGGCTTTAATTTTCACAACTGCTTAAGTTGTGTATAACTGTGGTGATCAATCATGTCTTCATGCCTCTATATACATATTTAACAATCTGTGTGTAGTCTAAATCAATAATAGCCCTGTTCTTAACGTGATTATTTTTTCGAAATTTTTCTTTTGCAACTGTTGCTCGGCGCTGTTTTCATTGCCTTTTCCCCAAAAGCTTACTCAATAAACATACCAGCCTCAGTCAATCAGCCTACCGGTCAATCAAGTGATAAATCATGATCGGGAACAACTACATATTAAGAAATGATTTATCACCTATAAAGCAAGTAAAGTTGAAGCAGTTATCGCATGGCACGTCATTCCAAGTATATCCATGCCTCACGCCAAGAGTGTGCACACAATCCTCGTTGTTCCAGTCGTTTGGCTGCTTTGGAGCCCAGAACCTAAAACTGCTAATTTCTTTGTTTGCCCACACAAAAGAGCCTTCAACACTGCGGTCATTCAGCCCTATCCAGGCCTTATCGCCGTTATGACGGTGTTGAATAAACACATTCTCCTCCTGGTTGTGTATAGTCGCCAGATCAGAGTCCATCGCAGAACAGTTTGACTCAGCGGCCAGCCATGAAGCGCATGCGGGGCTTGTAAAGTAGCAATAACCACCAAAGTAACTCCACCCTGGCTGGCAAACGTCTGTAGAAACAAAGAAATACTCCATAAGTGAGGGAAGCCAATAAATTGATTTGAGTTGCTCTTTAGTTGTGTTTTTAGAGACAACTTCAAATATTTGGTTGCAAGTTTTATTTCATCTAAATCTCTGACGTTAAAACAACGTGAGCCTAAAATGCATATCTTACTGTTAGAGGAAAACTCAAATCTAAGAGGGCAATTCTTTGTCCGTACCTGACAGGACAGTGTATGAGATAGACAGTGAATCATACTTTGTCTCGTACAATTCCTTTAAACAAACTCGGACACCAGTCGTATTGATATACTACAATAAAGAATAAAACAAAATCAGTCTCCAAGAATGAAATGATATTGGGCACGTATAAGCTAACTTATACCCCCGGTACAAGCTGGGGGGAGGGGGTTGATGAAACCACTCCCCTAGGTTTTCATAGCGAATTATATTTACATTGATTAGATAGCTCTGAGCTTCCTCCACAAGAATAATACAATTTTGTTGGGTATGACGTCATCTTGGATCCGCAATCTTGGATTTTACTGTGTTTTTAAAGCTAAAGAAATAACGGAAATTAATACAAATTCAAGCCATAATGCTTATAAAATGAATAAATTGGTGAATTTCTGCAATTTGATGAATAAAACTGGGGAAAAATAGAGAATTAGGTCAAAAAAGGTGATTTTTGGCCAAACTTGTGTAAAATTTGCGGTTGCCATGGCAATGTCAAAAATAATAGACACGCAATTGACATATTATAATTTCGCAGAGGATCAATGAGCAGCTCCTGAAAGTTTTAGCCCCTCAGAGTAAATGGCCATTTCAAATATTTGAGTTCCCCCCGGATTTTTCATTGTAAAATTGCACTCTAATTTTGCTATAAAACTTTTAACTTAAACAACGGAGTGTAAATATAGAGCTTCCATTCTACCTCCACCCAAGCAGTTATTCCATTGTGTACTGGTTGCTGATCTCCACCGCTAGATGAATGGTTCGCCGATACGAACACGTTTGGGGTGCTGTTATACTTCCTAGCAAAGCGAATATCCTGATGAAACATTAAATGCTCTCATTAAGTTTGACATCTAACCTTGCATGAAGTTTACGGCATCCAATAACATTTCCCTGGTGTTAGTTCTGCGATAAGAAACTAGCAATACAGTGTGAACTGATATATACTTTTAAGAAAATCCATTGATTTGTACGTTTTGAAGAATATAGTCCAGGAATGCGCACGCTCCTCATTACGTTTGCCACTGCATACAATAAGAACCTTCTGGAGTTAGTTGGCAGTGCAGGTTTACTGGTATAAAGTTTTAAGCAAACTCTTGGATTTATTTTGACCAATTTTAATCGACTAAATGCAGATGTTCCTCATTGAAAAGACTTTTATACTGACCTTGCAGAAAGCATTGTTGAAATCTGCAGGAGGATGCTGGGCGTTAGCAAAATAGACTGAACTATGCTCTGTGAAAAGAGGCTTGTGAAGAGAGGAAAACCCCAACCATTTCTATTAATGAGAACAAAAAAGAAATCCAGAAAGAACGGGTGAATAACTGCATTGCTATCATACTGTTTTATTTTGTTCTCGCTGTTTCATTTGTTTCTAACTAAAATATACATTTTGATGAAAAAGGTTATTATAAAGTAAAACTTACCACAGATTACTACTCAACCAGTCCTAATTTTTTTCTTATCATCTAAAGGTATATTGGAGTGAGCTTGATCTATAAAGGTCATGTTTGTAGACTATTGGTGGAAGCTGTGACACTTACAACATGAACGTCTTCGTGCGATCCTGCGTAGTTCTGCAGCTCTATCAAACAAACTTTGAATGACGATTGCGTGACGTCTTCAATCCACAGACTGGCAGCGTCACGCTTTAATCCAGCGTGATGGTGAGCAGCAGTAACAAACACTGAGGGTATCACTGAAAACTTCCCCTAAATGGAAAATAAACAAAAAAAATAACAAAGCAAGCCAACAAATATAGTCGGGACAAAAGAAGAAGTTAAAGAAAACAACATAATTAGTGGTTCAGCAACCTATATATATATTCAGAAACAGGGGAAACCAAGATTCCTAGCCAATAATACAAACTGTCTAAAGGCTAGAATGAGTTAATGAAAGTATTATTCAGTGGCCCAGTGACATCTTAAGCAAAAGTGAAGTCAGTGCAATTTAAGTTACAACAGAAAAGACTAACCGAGGGAAAATTGACAGCTTTACAAGTCGTCCCAGTCCACCATTGTGATATTCGTACTTCCCCGGCAACACCACCCACTGGAGCCCCTTGGTACGCCATCCAATCAACTGTCACGTTAGCATGTGATTTCCGCTCATTGTAGCCTGCCGCCATCACACATGCAGTGAATCGATCGTAACTGACATTTTCAATCCACGACACAGCGGCATCATGTACATATGACTTGTCACTGGTGTCAATATGATTGACAGTGATCTGAGCTTCCAGTGGTTTGTCTGGATAGAACACAAAAGGCTTGAGGCGAATTACTTCACAATGAGAATATCCCAGTGAAGGAATATGTGGCATGTGACGGCGACCTCGCTGGAAAGGAAATCCTTAAAAAACATAATAAAAGAAATCATAAGTAACAAGGAATGATTGAATCTACTCCGCCCTAAATGGGCCACTATCGTTATCATTTTCATCATCAGCGTCGTCAGAATATTCATTTTAAAGCAAATTAAAATATTGTTTTTTAACCTTCACAACTACCAGGGTGTTGAACGGAAAAGTTNAGATACACAGATACACAGATACACAGATACACAGATACACAGATACACAGATACACAAATATACAGAAACGCAGATACACAGGTACACAGATACACAGATACACAGATACACAGATACACAGATACACAGATTCACAGATACACAGATACACAGATAGACAGATACACAGATACACAGATACACAGATACACAGATACACAGATACACAGATACACAGATACACAGATACACAGATACACAGATACACAGATGGATGGATGGATGGATATGTTGGTCTTCTGTTTGCTTTTTCCTTTTCTTTGATTTTTAATGATACAAACGTGTAATATTTTAGGTAGGAAAAATACAAAAATTAAAACAAACAACAAAATAAGGAACATCTTAAACAGCATGAAAATCGAAAATAAACGGCAATTTTTTTTTGTTTGTTTGTTCGTTTGTTTGTTTGTTTGTTTGTTTCCTTAATGTATGTAAAATGATTAAATTAAGCTCTGCTGTACTTGGCAACATCCTAACGGATGTGAATACATTTGTTTGAAGACAACTGCTCATCGTTTTCCTTTTCGCGTAGTTTGTGATTTGGGAGAGAAAAGGTGATCTTCTTGATTGACAGGTATTACGATTTATCCAGTGAAAGAAAAAAAAAAGGTAAAGTCTGCATACGAGCCAAGTGGCCCATCAGGCCGGAGCTTATCCCGGTTTTTTTAGCATGAAGCGACTGGGAGTATTTCTACTCCCCCCTGGATGGGATGCTAGTCCATCGCAGGGTTACCCCCAGCATTAAGTTCGCCGGTATCCATTTATNGGCCAGGGCTCGAACCCGGAGCGCTCGATCCGGAGACGAGCGCACTAACCATGAGGCCACCGCGCCTCCCACTAGTGAAAGACAATATCAAATTCACTCACGATTTTGATGTTTTCATGAGGTCCATCGAAAATCTTGGCTTCTCGGAGGCAAATTTTAAAATAATCCACGCTCAACTCCTCCACCCACACAGCCATGGCGTCCTGAGGTCTTTTGGGAATTTGGTGACCAGCAGTTACAAAGATGGTTGGAAGAGTCGAGAAACGCTGGAATAAATAAGGAATAAAAATAGTCAAAGATAAACGAGAAAGGAAAAGGTAGAAGAGAAAGTGGTTAGATGAAAGTTATTTTTCAGTAATGGATTGACAAATACTAAAAATCAGGGAACGAGGGAACGAGGGAACGAGGGAACGAGGGAACGAGGGAACGAGGGAACGAGGGAACGAGGGAACGAGGGAACGAGGGAACGAGGGAACGAGGAAGCGAGGGAACGAGTGAACGTTGATTCTGCCAAGGTAAACATTTCTTCCCTAGAGATATAATAATCAGCTTCAAACAAACGGATTTAATGCTTACCTGCTGAAAATAAATTCTTTTGCATTCTGCCCCAGTTGTCCAAGAATTTAATGATGTAGTACCAATCTGAGATCCACGGAGTGAAGCCTGGAAGGATAACCAGTTTACCTCCACCGTCTTGTTGGACCCATTTCCATATTCAAGGACACAAAAGGTGAATTTAGTGGCTGTAACAACTTCAACCCAGACTGCGGCGCCGTTCCGAGGTGTTCGGCTTTTTACGGTATGGCCAACTGAGGCGAGAACCGTTACTTGCTGTCCGCCGTAGAAGGGGCTTGGGAAGTGGATTACCTTGCAAGCAAATAGTCCCGGTATGATGGTAGTTATGTTGTCTTTTCCAGCCTTGAATCCGTGTGCTGTGAAAGAATAAAGAATTTTGTTTTCTTTGCATTTTTTAAATCACCGTCGCGCTCCTCCCCCAATTCCCGTCCACTGTTTAAATTTCTTCGACAAGACATAAAATAAATTTCGGCTGGCGATTAACATAAGGTACACAATCGCGAAACTTCAAGAGAAAAACTGCCATACCTTTGGTGGCTGGAGCAAGTGCACAAATGATCAAGAAAACAGGAACAAAGTAGATCGAGTATTGACGCACAGACGACATGTTACTCCGACTGAAAGGAAACTTTGTTGTGATGTGCATTAACATGACTACAAGAGCTATATATGCATACGTGCTGAGTGTCATCTACGTGTTAGGACAATTCGAAATATGCAGATTATCATAATGATAATGATAGCCAATAGTCCGTTCTTATGTTGTTTTTTGGAGATTCTTTTACTTTTCGATGGAAGGCGGAGGAGAGGGCGGGGGGTAAGGGTGTGATTGTGCGTAGACTAATATTTATAATTATGGAAGTGATTACGTAAAATTAAAATGCTGGATTTCTTGCATACAGACCTGATTTCGCTATCCCAAGTATTAATTTGACAAAATGGCAAAATAAAACTGTCAAATGTGTAAAGGTTTTAGCAAGTTGTCTTGTCAACAACTATTTTCCAGACAAGACCCTTGATCCCCTTAGCCCATACACCCATGCCGCAACCCCCTCCCCCCCCCCCGTACCCTCAAAGAGTAAATTCAAGTGTGCACGAAAACATAACTCTAACGTAGATATTGCTGCTGTTTAATTCCTCTGTGTTTTCTGATTTTGGATTCTTACTGAACTATCACGCTTGCGTGCATATTTTTGTTTGTAAGGTATGTCTATTGACAGCCGCCTAATACATGTTAAAAGGGTTAGGAAAAAATGTCCTAGTTTGTTATGTTTGGATTCTCGTTGCTACATGTGTTTTGTTTTTACAATTCGAGTTTATCACAAATATAAAAGGTTACTGTTTGTAGTTCCTATACTTTGTTTGCTTTGTTTCTTCTTTTTTTTTTTTTTCTGCGCAATCTTTGATTTTATCTAACTTTACTTTTAGTGGTTTTTGTTAGTCTTGTTACTTCTCGATCTGGTTTTATTCGAGGCTAGAAACTCCTATCTCTATATTTTCCCTATGTTGTGTTAACGTTTCTTTTTCTTTTAATGAGAAATGGTCTGTAAGTAATACGATAATAAAGCAATAATATCCATTAAACCAAGATTGCCGTATTGTCTAAAATAACACAACAGATCAGTCATTTCAGTCAATTGCAATCTGCTCAACTTGGTTGTAATTCAAACAAAGCTCCAACAACAACAGTGAAAATGTGGTTAAAGTGGATAAACCTACGGTTTAGCGCCAGCCCGTTTCATGTCACGGTCACGTAGACAAGCTTATAAGTCTGGGGGGAAATTTTGCTTTGAAACTTTCTCAAAAAGCCGTAAAAAGCGGCTATTCCTGAGGGGATATTTCTCATTGGAATTCATTTAATTTTTATACTCCGACTCCCATGACAGCTTAAGTCTGTTGCTTCCGAATTTAAAAAAGGTCAGTTCTTCTTAATGATAGCCATGCAGCTAATTTATGTCAGATCAGTGACAATTTGGTGTTGCATCAAGGCACTATTACTAAGTTAATGATTTTATTTAAATCGTGACCTTTCCGACTTGATGATGTTTTGGAGCTGTAACGAGAAATTAAAGTCTGATCACAACTGGAATTTAAAGAGATCAAGGTGCTAGACACATATTACATGGCAAAATGTTTCGGTATTCCTGCATTGGTTTTACACAATACAGTTAGGAGAAATTAAAGTAGACCCGTACTATGTAACGTATCTTAAGCCAGCGAGGAAAATGGGTTGAAAGGATGGGGAAAAAGTTAAACTCTGCATAACAGGCAAGTGAGCCATCAGGAAGGAGCTTATCTCCGGTTTCTGAAGCATGATGCGACTAGGAGTATTTCTACTCCCCCCTGGTCGGGGTGGGATGCTAGTCCATCGCAGGGTTACCTCTAGCATTAAATTCGCTGGTAGCCAGTTGTACACCTGGGTAGAGAGAGATGCTGTGAGAGTGAAGTGTCTAACCCAAGGACTCAATAAACGTCGCCGGCCAAGGCTCGTACCCGAACCGCTCGATCCAGAGACGAGCACACTAACCTTAAGGCTACGCGTCTGGAATGTGTCAGCTAATCATTAAGAGAGAGTTGCCTGTGAGAAGAATTGAATTGTTTTGTTGTATTTGATCGGCGTTTTTACTTTTATCTCTGTTTTTCACACTTTAAGTTTAACAAATTGACCTCCGTGTTTCATGCGTCTGTCCTGTTATTGTTTCTTGAAGAACTTTTAAATTCTAAATTTATCGTCTATCTGTTTCACTGACGCGCAGGAGTCCTGATCCCGGACATGTATCCCTGTAACTGCCCGTATCTTAACATTTCACAGACGCGTGGGAAAGTACAATTCTGTGTTAATTAATGTTTTCCTGATATAAAAAGAAAAGGGGTCCATAGCTACAAAATAATAAGCGACTTACTGATTTCGCTGAGCAGTATATTACAATATACGGAGCCCTGTTAGTGCCATACACGCGCGCGTACAGCATCATATTTGGGATGTATCCTTTTTTCATTCTGGCGAACACTTTCTTACCTTTGGCGCGACTTTTTTTTCTGCCGCGACTTTTTTCTTGCTGGCGCGACTTTTTTTTTTTGCTGGCGCGACTTTTTTTTTGCTGGCGCGACTTTTTTTTTCTGGCGCGACTTTCTCTTGCTGGCGCGATTTTTTATTGCTGGCTCGACTTTTTTTTCTGGCGCGACTTTTTCTTGCTAGCGCGACTTTTTTTCTCTGTAAGTACTTCATGTATCCCTTATTGTAGCGTATTTAGAACTTCATGTTACTTCTCTCATATTCCTTGTGCCTCTCTGCATGCCTCCTCGTGTTTTCTGTTGTATTTCCCTATTTATTCCTCTGTATTCTCTTGCATTCCCCTATACATTAATCTGCACTCCCCTGTATTCTCTTGTATATGATTTTTATTCTAAAACTAACCATAAGTACAATTATAGCTATAAAGTACCTACAATCAGGGACTAAAGTCTTAGGACAATTAACTTTCTACCAGTTTTGTTTTTCTGCCTACCAGTGATGAAAACTGTCTTTCTCAGGAGACTGTTGAATCTATTGATAATAGGATAATAAGCATTTTTTATCATTTATCCCCATTCATTTCAAGGAAAAAAACTCACCTGCAGAATGAATATTATTAGCATTCATCTATCGTTAGCACTCTGAGAAAACGGTTTAAAAGGTTAGTTATCTCTCATTTATAATTGAGACTGTGGGAGGGGGGGAGGGCAGGAGGCGATGTCTGGGGAAGTGAGAGGATTGACACTTGGAATAAGGCATTAGAGTGGCAAAAATAGCGGACTCGAAAACGATGCCACTGCTTTAATAGCTGGTTATTGACCCTATTGAGACCGGTTCTCCACCTCTGGAAGGGGTATTTTAGAAACTCCTATACCAACTTCTTGTCAACTTTGAACGCTTGTATAACTTGAAAAAAAAAAAAGAAAAGGTACGAAAATAAAGGGATGAACTACTAGCTTAGGGAATTTTAGTTTCCTAAAATGTATCTACGGACAATAGACCAATTTCGATATATTAAAATTCAGCCTTAAACAATAGACCTCAGCACGAGGCTCTGGGGAATAACTACAGAATTTGTGGGGTTTATTC